TTTTGATGTTTATTGAAAGGAAAGATTTTTGTTTATTTGTTTACCGAACAAATCTGAATTTTTCCAACATCTTCTTCTTATTTCGAAAACTCAATCTTGGAAATAGATGATCATAAAAAAAAACAAGTATTATAGTGAGCATTCTTTAATGAGCAAAAAAATTTAATATATTTGAGGACACACTCGTAGGTATTTCTTTAGAGGGCATCAGAGAAACTGAATTGATTTTGATGAAATCAGATCCAAAGCGCTCCAAAAAGAATGGAAAGGAAACCATTCCACTAGTTAATGAAACAGTTCAGTAAGCTTTCTATTCAGATGACGAACGATTTTTGAAATGAAAAGAAAACATCTCATAATAGTACGAAGTGGAAAATAATGGGTTTCTTCAGATGCAGAATGCACTCTTTTCGCTTACAAACATATTCGCTCAACTATAGAACGTATTCTTTATGAAAAAGGTAGCTTTCCAAGTTTTGATGAATATTTTTTTATTGAGTATAGGAAAGCGACCGATCGGTACTTTGTTGAATGTTTTAGTTGATTAATTCATTGAAAATTGAAGTTAGTTTGTTAAAAGATTCGTGTAATCGATAATCAAACAAGCTATTAAATTTAAACTAAGTTAAAATGAATTCATTACATAAACCCAAATATTAATAACGTTGGAGCAGTATAATCACTTTCCAAACTGGTAGATTTGCTTTAACCTCTGATAGACACACAATTACCCAGGTCAATCATTACCGATTGTCGTCAGCTACCGTAAACGACGGCGTATACACCGTATCCTACTGTAAATAACCATTTAAATGCCTTCTAGTGTCCTAATGACACGTCCAGTATTACTAGCCCTATATTTACAGAGATATACGACCTCCATTAATGTGTCGTATTTTACTGTAAACGGCTGCATTCTTCAACTGAATTAGTCTAGTTTTCTTTTTGTTTGAAGCTACATTCAAAGCCATTATTCTACTACAAATTTTGATAAAAAAAAACGTTGTATACAATACAACTAAACCTATATGTGCTGTCTATATGCTACAAAAAATTGCTTTTCAAAAACTTTGAATATCATTTGCTATTGTGATTCTTCAACAAGAAAATCAGTAAGAGGGCGCTAGTTTCCAATTGAATGTTTATCTATTATTCAACAATATATTCCATTGGTTTAAACGTCAATTATGGTTCATCTCATGCCAATTGGTATATCCTCCATTCTTAATATTCTCCTATCATCCAATTTTCATTCAAAGAGAATTTCAAAGCAAAATATTCAAATCAAAAATTTATCGTTCTTTGTTTTTAATCGAGAACAGTGATAGAATTATTTGTTTATTCAATCTTTTATTTTCTATGGCTTCAACAACTACTGACGATTCTACGATATCATCATCATCATCAAGTTTTGAAAAACGTCTTACACTTGTTAATAGTACACAAGAAAGTGTTCAAACATTATCATTATGGATTTTATATCATCGTTCTCAATATGAACATTTAATAAAAACATGGTTTAAAGTTTTAAAAAAATCTAAACCATTACATCGTTTAACATTATTTTATGTTGCTAATGATGTTATACAAAATGCTAAAAAACATAATGCATTAGTTTATCAACAAGCATTTAAACCTTTTTTAAATTCTTCAATGATTTATGTTAAAGAAAATGCGATTAAAAAAAAAGTTCAACGTATACTTGAAATATGGCGTGAACGTGGTGTTTATGATGAAGATTTTATTGATGAATTATTAAAAAAACTAGTTGGTACTGAAGTTTATGAAAAAGATAAAGAAGTAACTCGTGTTATTGCTGAATTTCAAGTAAAAATAAATAATTAAAATTTTTTTTTTAATATTTAAAACAAAAAATTTTTTTTTTGTTTGTTTAGCCAAAATCATTATGTGAATCATTAATACGTTTTAAACAACTTGAAGGAGAAACACTTGTTAAGGAACAAATGATAAATAATGATTTAAAACTTATTGATGGAATGTCAATTGAAAATGTTCGAAAATTAAAAGGTAAAAAAAATCAGATGAATTCATTTTGAAAACAAAATATTCTTTTTTTATATTTAAGATAAAACATCAACTGATGCATATTATATTGAATATGAAAATAGTCGAGAAAAATTTCAAGAATATGTTCGATATTTTGAACGTCTTTTACATGAACGTAAAACAATTAAACAACATTGTAAACAGGCTGAAATTTTTTACGATGCACAATATCAAGATGCAAATATTGTTGTTGAAGTTTGTATTATTATTTTAATTTTCTGTAAAATCTTCTCGAATTATCATTTTTAATAGGCATACAAAAATTTTGGTGATAAAGTAGCAACATTAAAGAAAAAACTTGATAGTTTAATAAGAGATTTACCTGAAACTGTATCACCACCATCAGCAGATAATGTACCGTCACCTGGTAAGAATAAATTTTTCTTTTTGTTTTTTCTTGAGTATATTTACCAATGATACATTTATTCAATTGTGTCCAATGTTAGATTTCATATAATCTTTCGTTGAATGCTTCATATTTACTATTGAACAAGAACATTCGAATCAAAACTCTGACTATGACATAAGAAAAAAAATATTATTTGATTTCGATTTAGTTTGACGGAGATCTTATAGCAAAAAGTCCAGACACGCGTTTTTTGCTACCAATATCTGGCAGTCTTTGTGTACATAAGAACAAGTAAAGGATCAAGATTTTAGCTATTTATTGGCTTGTCTCAAAGTTAACGTACAGTTATTTCCTTGCTGTCGACTTTCCTATCACTCAATTCTTAATAAATTAAGAATTTTCAATTAATTGAAATAAGCATTATGTTAACAACAAAAAAAGGAAATTGAATAGTTAAGTAATAAATAAAATTCGTCAAATCAATATTAACACCAAAATCTTCAGCTGTATAGAATAATTTTAGCTGTATTTATGTAAATGAAATCAAGCAAGTAAGGAGCTGTGGTCCACATTTTTGTAAACTTGGCCCTGCAACTCTAGGTCTGACACTAGACATGCACTGAAACTAAAGAGTCGCTGACAACCATGAGCTTTGTTTTCTTACAAGAAGCTCGAAG